GCGGTAGGCCCAAAAGGGGTTTAAATCTGTGTATGGAATCTGCCCCCTCTGTCGGAGGGAAGGAGCGAAGGCGCACCGCTCGATCGAACGCTCTTTAGTAAGACCGTTTGATCTGGTTAGTCAGGCTGGGTCCTGTGTAAATAGCCCTAGCCGGACACCGGTGCCTTGTCTAGACTAGCGTTCTAGGGTGTATATTACGTTCGCTAGGTCGGAGGGACCGGGAGACTAAGCGGCACCTGTGTAAATTCGGTTCGCTAGCTCTCAACCTATCTTGGCTAAGTGGGAAGGCGTGTAAATTTGGAACCCACTAGACTTTTGATAGAGTAAATAGACTAGAAGGGCAATTTTGTAAATTTCGCCCTCTAGTTCGCTATATGTGGTGTTTGGGCAGTGTGGCTAACCAAAACGGGTGTATATAGTTTTAGGTGGTCCATTCAAGGTACTGGCCAATAGTTTAGTTGGGATTGTAAATGTGTTAAAGATTGTTAGTAAAGTGTATATCTTGTTAGATAGCGCGAGCTCAGCCGTCTAGCGAGAGTGTTAATGGTGTGTTGCTGTATCATAGTGCACGGTACCATAACCCTGTATATTTACTGACACTGTATATAAGTACTAATCATTGTCGTCTATTGCATGTTTAACACCGTAACCACTAATAATTGTATTGTGACCTTAAATTGTGCTTTGACCTATGCTAACCGTACTGTAACCGATACTAGTAAAAGGCGATGTTACTGGGGTGTGTTATAGACGGGTAATTCATATATAGAGAATTATAGCGTGGGTGACTGTATAGTTTCGCCAAAGGGCATAATATTGATTATTTAGTGACTGGTATAACAGCTGTGTGTGTACGGGAATTCCCTGAGTGATTATTGTGTTATTGTGTACGTTTCACTCGGTAACTGAACCACGTGGTGCTGTTGCCAGAGGAAACGGGTGTGACTGTTGAATAAGAACGCGTGCATAGTATTCGTTGTCAACGACGTTCCATTGATAAGTATGGGCGCGTCAGAGTCAACGATTTCGGATCCCTTAGGTTGTATGGTAAGAATTTTAAAAAGGGATTCAAAACATGTGATTTTGGGGTTAAAATGTCTCCTGTACGTTTGGTCACTTTGTGCACTAGGGAGTGGCCTATTTTGGTTGCGGCATGGCCGCCGCGTGGCAGTTTGGATCCAACCCTGGTACAGCGTGTACACGTGGCTGTGTCAGGTAGACCTGAACTTTACGGACAGTTTCCATACATTGATTGTTGGGGGCAGGCCGTAAACGACTCGCCAAAATGGATCCGGATATGCCACGAGGAGCAATGTCGCCTCATGGTGGCCAGGACTTGTTTGTCCACTAGGACTGGTGTTAGGCCCATTTTGGACACGCCCCCTGAGATCCCTTTGCCGCCTCCTTACTTTCCTTTAAGAGGAAGTGACGCGAATGCAGGAAGCTCTGCACCCCTTCCCCTATTGCCCCCATCCACTTCCGCTTCCTCCTCCAGTACAGAATCCACCCCCCCTCGTATTAAAACTCCCCTTCCGGAACCAGAACCAACCCCCATTAGATTTGAATATCCTGATTTGGCGCCACTTCAAACTTCCGGTCAAGCTTCTTCTAGCTCGGCTCGGAGTATACTATTCACTAACTTTCCCCAAAATCAAGTTCCCACATCCTCATGCCCTATTACCTCTCGACCGGAACCTTAAACTGACGCCCCTCCACGTAGCCCCATACTAACCCGACAACTGACCGGTACCCAACAATTAAAACATTATCAGATGCCTCTTCGTCTGAATCCTGGGTCAGCCTATATCGATGCCGCAGGTCAAATGGCACATGCTGACCCAGTCTGCGTATATGTCCCGTTCACGACTACCGATCTCTTGAATTGGAAGACCCACAATTCCT